TTCCTTGGTCTTAGTGTGTGGACAGATTTCTTGCACGCTCTTGCATATCATTCTTTGGGTGACTGTTATAAATAATCTTATAGAATATGTGTCCTGTATTATACTGCTCTCCCTTGCAAAAATATCCCCCAAAACCAACACACAGTCTCTACTTCTTCCTGTTCTTCCTCCTGCAACAGTCTGACAACAGATGAAGCGATGGTTAAGTTTTGCGGGCGATGCCACCTCAGCACCCTCTCTGTTACCCAGAAGGCTTATAAAAACCCTTTCCAGGAGCTCTTCCATCAGGGCTGCGCTTCCAGCATCTTCCCTACATGATGTTGTTTTTATTCAACAAGGCATTTACTGTTGGCAATATATCTTCTCTGCTCTATCTTTCCTTTAGTGGCTCACCAAAAAAAAGAAAAAACAAGAAGAAGGCTTGTGTATTTCATTATTGGAACAGAATCCACCAAATACCTTAAGCCGAGCTGTGTTAGGAACAGCTGTACTTTTAGCCAACTGTATACCAAACCTCCCACACTCAGTAATTTAGTGTAATACTCATTTCTTCCAATCTACGGCAATGTTTTCTCCACATCTTCCCAGAGTATTTGCTGACAAAGAAATGCCTTTCGGTTTGTCGACAGATCATTTACTGTTCATTGTTTCTGCTGTTTTCTGCTGCAGGAGAAAGAAAAAGTGTTTGCCTGGTGGTAGGTGATTTTTGCCTTATGCTATTATGCAAGAAACTTCAGAAGAGCTTTCCAAATATTTATCATTGCTTAGGGAAATATCAAAAAGTACTGGGCTGAACAGCACATAACTTTAAACATCGCTGGGGAAAAAATTGTGGGAGTTTGTCTTCATGTTCAGAAAGCTGTTTTAAATGCCTTGCAAATTGTGAGGATTTCACTCTGTTGTTGACGAATTATCTCAAGGTGCAAGGCACCCAGGGCTCAAGCTTCACCAGCAATGGTGGAGAGGAGCCGGCTCCAAATAGTTTTATCATGTTTGCTTTCTTTTCTTTTCTTTTTTATTTGAGACAGAGTCTCGCTATGTAGCTCAGCCTGGGCTCAAACTCAAGCCTCCTGCCTCAGCCTCCCAAGTGCGGGAACCACAGGTGTGCACCATCACACCCAGCTAGTGTTTGCTTTCTTACACGGAGGGCTAGCTTCTTGCCTCATCTGTAACAGGAGTGATGGAGAACATACACCCAAAGTCAGGGGTTCTTGGCCTAGCCGCTTCTGTCTGTGGTTCTCCTGGCTGTGGATTATTGGTATCACTTGCAGTTTCTTTATAGGAATCTTTTGTAAGCCACTTGGCCATATTGGAGGAGGATTGTGTGGTCAAACTGTATCATGTAATCATATAATCCTTCAGCCAGACCATTAAACTCGGACCGATTGCAGTCCACTGAAAGTGAGAGAACGGGGAGGAAGAGGGTGCTATATCAACCCCTGGCTCAAGACTCCCAATTCTTTTCCTCTGGGACACTTGAGAACCACCTGGGCTTTGCTGCCTGGCTGAAGGGTGAATGTGCCAGCACGGAGCTTATTCATTTTTGTTGCTGGTAGTGTTTTTTGGACCCAGACTCTCACTGTGTATTCTAGACTGAGCTTGAACTCGCTATGTAGCCCAGGCTGGCCTTCAACTTGCAGTGGTACTCCTGCCTCAGCCTCCTGAATGCTGGAATTACAGACGTGCAGCACCGTGGCTAGCAGAGCCAGATGTTAAGTATGAGGAGCGTCTATTCTGATCACAGGAGCCCACTGTGCAGGCCCCTGGCAGGAACAATGCAGGTGGAGAGCCAGAGAAGGCACTCAGGATGCCCCGACATGCCCCCTGCGGGCCAGGTGGGCCCAGACATGCTCGCCCTGGGCAGGACTCTCAGGTACAACTCCCTGAGACCATGGGTGCCTCACTCCCCCAGAGCTCAGCCCCAAGCAGGGAGCCCAGAAGGCGCCAGAGGCTCCCAGCCAGGTGCGGAGGATGCCCTCCTCCTGACTCGGTCACACTCAGTGTTGGCCTGGGTGGTCTCAGGAACGGGTGCTCCCACCCCGTTAGTGTCCTTATGCCAGGCTGTTGCTCCTCAAGGAAGCCTCCCCAGAATGCCATCTCCAGGCAGCTGCCAGGATTTGCAGTCGCACCCTGTGATCTAAGGCAGTCCCGGGACCTACGTACTCCGCTGCATGGTGCTCCCACATTTGCTAAGCCTGTGTACCCCATGCTGCAGCACTGACAAGCAGCTGGAAGACCCCCTTGCTATAACCTTGCCCTCTGGGGTTGCCAGGCTTTGTTGGCACTCTTGGCACAGGGCCTGGGAACCAGCCATGTGCCCACTGAGCTGCCCCTCTGGGAGGTAACAGCTGTCCCCGGTCCCGAACGGTGAGGCCGCTGCCTGTCCTCAGCAGGGAGGTGACCAGCCCTGGTGCCCGGTTTTGCTCACCAGATTTGCAAATTGTCCTTATCAGCAAGCGTGGCACCCCCACCCCCACCTGGGCTGGGGCTCCCCAAAGGAGCCGCCTTCAGACTCCTCCACCCGGATCCCTGGCAGCAGCCCTTGCAACTGTCTGGTCCCACAGGAAGGTGGAAGATTTCTTTTTATTATTTATGCAAAGTATAGACAAGGAGAGATGCGGTTTAATGCACCATGTGACAGCGTTTGGGATTGGAGCTGTCTGCCACCCAGTGAATCAGCCGTGAGCCACTGCTAATGTCCCGGGGGGCAGCCGAGGTCGGGGAAGCCAGGCGCCCACTGCCTTCTGACCCGATGCGCTCACACTGGACTCTGGCCGGGCCTGGGCTGAACTGTGTCCCACGCAGCACTCTGGGCATCTTGAACCCTGCACAGCGGTGGCAGGCAGGCGGGAGGAGGCGGCATGCACTGTGACCGGGAGAGTGTTTCCCTCTGCAACAGGAGAGCACGCTGGGTACCCGGTTGGAGGGCCCTGAGCTGGGAACCTGGGCTACAGCTGATCGCTGCTGGGGGGCAGGGGTCACAGCCGGCGGGGGTCACGGGGGGCGGGGACAGCACTGGAGACAGCACGGAGAAGCACAGCAAACAAGCAAGGGCAGAGGACCCCATGCCCAGGAAGAGCCCCAGCATGTCCCATGTACAGCAGCGGGGACAAAGGGCCTGGCATCCAGGGCCTGGCACATCCACAGGGCCAGAAGGCTGTGACTTGGCTCGGACCACAGGAAGAGGACACCAGGGTGCGGCCACCGGCTCATTACAAGGACTACAGCAAAGGCCAGGCCAGGTCAGGACACAACTACCATCCCAAGGGGAAGGAGCCTTGGCCAGCCAGATCCCGGCCCCCTGCCTTCCCCGAGACGCTGCAGGGAAGAGCTGTCCTCCAACAAGCCGCCACCAAGGTCCCGGTCAGCCAGGCGCCGTCCAAATCCAAGGACGCCAACAAGCAATGACAAGCGAGCTTCTGGAGCGGAGACTTCCCCGGGGAGGATGGGCTGCGAGTCCAATTGTCCTGAAACCTTCTGCAAGCGCCGGGATTATAAATAGCATGATTGGTGGCCTGTATTTTTCTCCATAAACTCTCCCAAGCTCCTCCTCCCGTGGATCAATGGCTGTGCAGGGCCGAAGCCTGGAGGGCCGGCCAGCCGCTGGACTCAAAGCCTGGGGGTGCCTCGGCCTCTTCACAACCCCCTTCGTACCCACTGAGGGCTGGGGAAGGTGAGGGCCTGCGGCTCTCGCAGAGGGAGAAGGAAAGGGGAAATGGTCATTTTAAATGGTCCTCTCTGCATTTTAAGGGGTGGGAGACAAAGTAATTCATATCTGTAAAATGAAACCTCTCTTCTGCAGTCTTGCTGGTAGTGGCCATGGAACAGGGAAGGAAAGCTGGAGTCTGGGCTTGGCTGGTACACATGGCCCCAAGAGGAGAATGGTAGGGTGTATAGAGTGCTTGGCCTCTCGACAAGCTGGGAGCCAGCACAGAAAGGAAAAACAGCTCCTTTTAATAACGCAGCCAGCCAAGGGGCAGCAAGTGAAAGAGACAGCAGACCCCAGCAGCTGGACAGGTCCTGCCCTTGGGCGCCTAAACCTCAGCAAAGCTGGGACTGCACCCAGTTTTGTGAGAGTAGCACCCTGGGGAGGGGAGGAACTGGGGGACCATGAGCTGGGATACGGTCAGCCCACCCACAGGGCCAGGAGGGGACAGCCAAACCCCTGGAGTACCTCAGACATCCTGGGCCCCGAGCTGGAGCTAGCCCAGCCCCGCTCACTGGAGTCCCTCCTGGGCCATCTTTGCAGCTCGAGCCAGATCCTTCCTAGCTCTGTGCAAAGGGGGGGGGGGCACCGGCTTTCAGGGCACCCTGGGCACCCTGAGCACTAAGGACCCCCAGTCAGGCTCACGTGGAGCCAGGGTGGGGCTGGGAGGACCACTGAGAGCTGTGCAGTCCTGGGGAAGGGGCACTGGGCCTAAAGGAGGAGACTCCCATGCCAGGGTCACCCCTGGGATCAAGGGCCAGGGGCAAAGCTGCGGGTGGCAGAACCAGGTCCAGTACAGAGACCCAGCCAGCCTCTGAAGACACTGCCAAGGCAGGAGCTGTGGGCGAGCTCATGGCCACGCAGGTGGACACCTGGAAGCTTCAGCACAGCTACCCCATGGCCCCCGGCTCCTTTGTTTCCCTGCTATTAAATGCTGAGCGGAAGATTGCTTTCCGCCATCCCAATAAGCCGCCTGCTGCGTTGGGGAGCCCTGGCTACAGCCAGCCCACGTGTCATATCATCACTGGGAAGGGCCTTCCAGGCTCGGCTGACGGCCCCTCACTCAACACAAGGGAAACTGAGGCTGGGTGAGCCTCAGTTTCTTCCACCCTGGGAGGACCACAGTCTGCCTGCCAATCCCCAGGCGACCTTGAGCACAGGGCCTAGTAGCCACAGAAGCAGTCGTGGTCTGGGCCACAGGCATCATCTCCGGACACCTAAGCTCGTGAAGGCACAGCCTCCTCCAGACGCCATCAGGGTGACCTGTTGCTGTCTCCACCTCCCTGGGTCACTGACAGGATGCTCCCAGGCCCTGTCTGCAAAAGCTCTTTAGGGTGAGTGGGTGACACACAGTAATGCCAGGTCTTGCTGGGAAGCGCAGGCCCCTTTCCTGCTCACATCTTCAGCAGGACACAGATGGAGTGGGGAGGGAGGGCTCCATCCTGGGAGGGTCCCCGACTCCCCCCATTTCCTACGGCGTGCAGAAGAGATCTTCCTGCTGATGCAGGCTCCCCGCCAGCCCCTGGCATGCGGCCTCCACTGAGCCCCCAGAGCAGGAGGGAGCTGGGGACTCAGGGTGCCTCAGGCGAAGCCAGGGGGCTAGGCCTACAGCCCTGGTCCCAGCCAGGATCCCAGACCAGAGGAATGGGGTGGGCCTGGGGTGTGTAGAGTCCCAGACACCAGGACCCTGAGGACCGTCCTTCTGTCCCAATTGCCCAAGGGGCCTAGTATACATGTGCCAAGCCCAGGAGGAAAGGCCCAGAAATATAGCACCTTTATGGGGCATGGACCACCTCCAAGAAGCATGCCACAACCCAGGCATGGTGCCACATACCCGTAATCCCAGGAGGACTGCAGGTTTGAGCCCCGCCTGGGCAATTTAGCAACTTAGCAAGACCCTGACTCAAAATAACAAGTAAAAAGGACGGGGGATGTACCTCAGTGCCAAGACCCTGGGTTCAATCCCTAATACGGGACGGGGAAAAACATGCCACACAGGAGCCATTGGCAGGAGCTCTGAGCTGAGCTCTGTGCCCAGGACTGAGCGGGTACCCTCTGCAGTGCCCCCAGGCCTCAGAGCCCCTGCCCCTTCTACACCGCCACTCCTGAGGGCCCTTCTCAGCCCCAACCTGCTCTGGGCTACCATGTTGGTATGCCCAAGGCTCAGAGGACAGGGACTTTTAAAATGTCCCTCTCGGCTGAGGAGCTGACACAACAGGAGGGAGATTCACCACTTCAGGGTGACAGATAGGGACAAGGGCCCTGAAGTAAGCAGAAAGGACAGGAAGGAAGTGCAGGAGCCCCTTGACCCCATCCCTGCAGACCATGGGAACCCTGGACCCCTAGTACAAGGTTCCTCCCTTCTGCTGCTGCCTCCTCCACAGTGGAGCATGCTGGCGGGCAGCCGTGTCCCTTGGGTAGCCGTGTCCCTTGCGCAGCCGGGCAACTCTTCTGGCTCCTCCTCTCTTGGTCCCTCCTGGAGCCCCAGGCCCAGCCCCCAATCCCTCCTTTCCCTTTCTCACCCCGGAAGACACCGCTCCAGGCTTCAGAAGCCAAGACGTCCCAGCCCCAACTCTACAAAACTAGGGGTCACGATCGCCCTTCCCAGAGCAGAAGTGGGCCCCAAAGCCTGGCTGAGACACCACAGAAGCATCTCTTGCCTTCCAGTGCAGTGGTATGTGTAACTTTGCCGAACAGATCACAGGCCACAGGCTGCCCAGGAAGCCCTGGGCAGGGCTGTGGGGAGAAGGCCTGGCCAGGCGCAGTCAACGGGTGGCAGAGGGGACAAAAGAGTCCAAGGAGGTGGACAGAGGCAGCTAAGCCAGGGCAACTGGAGGGGCCGATAAGGTCCTTCGAGGACCAGCCATGTTGCAGGGCTAAGCCTCTCCCCAGAAGAGCCCGCCCAGCCCCGCTGGCTCTGTCCCTGGAGGAGGCCACAGCGACAGGACAGCAGCTTTATTGACCAGGCTTAGCAGCAGGAACGCAGCAGAGATGGGGCTATACAATCCAGCCAGGGGTCTGGGGACCTCAGTCTCCGCCACGTGTCCTGCAGTCTAGCCCACCCCTGCTCCAGACCCCTCCAGAAGTGAGGGACTGTGGGTGCCAGGGGCCCGGGCTGGAGGGGCTGGGAGGGCCAGGGGACCAGAGCGGGGCAGCCGGGGCACATGCCTGCCCGCAGCCAGCAGGAGGCGACTCGTGCAGGACAGTGGGGGCGGGCAGGCGGCCAGGCTCACCACACGGAGCACTTGTGCACAGGGTTCATGGGCGAGTCCCTGGGGCAGTGGAAGGCCCGGCCGAACTCCTCAAACTGAGACACACTGCCCAGCACCCTGGGGTAGGGCAACACCCGGGCATGTGGGTCCCAGCGGCTGCCCCACCCCAGCTGCTGGGCTGAGCCTCCGTGACCTCCCAGCCGCTCTCCCCAGCAGACGGGTGGGCGTTACCTATAGTGCTCAGGTGCATGCTTGTCGGTCAGCACCTGCAGGTAGATGGACTGCGACCGCCTCTTGATGCACCAGTTCTGGGCCCCAGAGGGGAGGGAGGGGAGGAAACAGGGAGGTGAGGACCAGGGCCACTGTCCACCTGCACATTAGCACCCGCAGGGCATCCCTTCCGGGTGACCCAGGGTGGGAGACGGGCTGGACACAGGGCTGGACCCCCGATGCCCGGGACCGAGCCCAGACATTGTGTCGCTGCCAGCACCCACCCCACACCTGGGCAAAGGCGATGAAGAAGAGCTGGTTGTGTGTGTACTTGAGCCGGTGCAGCGGGTGCTCTGGGCCGTGCTCCCGCACCCACTTCTGATAGGCCTGAGGGTGCAAAGGCAGGGAACAGCTGTGCCGCCTGCCCTGGGCACTGCTCCGTCTCCGTCCTCCACCCAGTGAGCTCCTCCCTGGGATGCTGGGTCCAGGAGACCAGTCCTTCCCTCACCTGCCCAGCTGGGCAACCAGCACCCTGCTGTGCACCCCCTCTGCCCCCCTCCTCGCACTGTGCTCCCGAAGGATGACCCTCGGCCAGTGCCACCCCCTCCGGGAAGCCCTCCCAGCTCTCCTGGTGAAGGCAGGGCTTGTGGCTCCTTCCTCTTCCAGTGGACACTGTGCAGGGCACAGGCCAGAGCTCAGAGGAATGGGCAGGCATGGCAACCAGCTCTCCAGGCTAGGGTTCTCATCAGGTCCCTCTGTGCCCGGCAGGGACAGAAGACAGGCAGGATGGCTCACGTAGTAGGCCAGCTTCAGGCCACCCATGTCCGCAATGTTCTCCCCAAGCGTGTGCTTCCCATTCACCTGCCAGAAGGGAAGAGGCGGGGGCTGCATGGGGCTCTCAACCCCAGCCCACCCCTCTCTCCCTTTCCAAAGCCTTCTTCCTTTTCCCCCTCCCTCGCATACCATTTGAGTCGGTGCATCTCACTCGGTGCCATGTGCTTGTGCATGAGAACCCTGAGCATGTGTGCAGGGACCTGGCACAAGTGTGTACACAAGTGTGCATGCTCCCTGTCCACACCCAGCTGGTGGGGGAAGGTCTCACCCGCTGGTTGTAGACGGTAAAGTTGTCATAGAGGCGCACGATACACTCGGCCTTGTGCAGGAAGCGGCTGTAGGAGGCCTCCGTCCACCAGTGCAGCAGGTTCCCCGAGCGGTCGTACTGGCCCCCTGTGGGCGGGAGAAGGGCAGGTGAGGCTGACCCACACCCCCAGAGCCCCCAACCCCCAGCCCCATCACCCTCCCTGCCCCAGCCAGTCCCTCTGGCCCCAAACCTCACCCCAATCATCGTAGCCATGGGTCAGCTCATGCCCGATGATGGTGCCGATGCCCCCGTAGTTCAGAGACCTGGACCCACGGCAGCAGGTCAGGCCCAGCCCTCACCTGCCCTCTAGAGCTCATGCTGCTGCCCAGGCCCCAGGAAGCCCCTGGCTAGGGTAGGAGGGAGCCAGGGAGGCCACTGGGGGATCCTCAAGGTCCTGAACACTTGTGCCTCAGCTTCCTCGTGGGCTACATGAAAGGGGACAATGGTCATGTCCAGCTGCACTTTTGGAAATAATATCTAATACAGCTGATAGGGGCCATACAACCGGATTAGAGGAAGCAGGAGGGAAATCAAGGCATCCACATGGGCGTTTGCCTCCTTCCTCATCCCTAGAATCCCCCCGCTTGGGAGACGCTTAAGCAAGCCAAAATAGGAAGGGGCATCCAAGAAGTCTTAAAAACAAAACAAAAAATCCAATTATACATCCTTCTAAACAAGCCAGGATTAAGTGGGACTGTGGGGACCCAGGGTCTGCAGCTGTCATGACCCAGCCCAGTTCTGGAGCTGCAGACCCCCACCCACTTGCATTCAAGGCCCCGGAGTGGGTCTGGGTCCCCTACTCACTGTGGGAAATCGGGGTCATACAGGGTGGGCTGCAGGATGCCTGCTGGGAACACTAAGGAGAGGCAGGGTCAGCGGAAGACACGCCCACTCTCAGACCCCGCCCACTTCAGGCCCTGCCCCCGGCTAGGACACACCCCTTACCCATCTGGTTCTTGTTGGGTAGATAGTAGGCGTTGAGCGCTTGTGGGGGTAGCAGCCACCTGGGTGGAAGGAGGCTGAGTCACCTAGGGGACACACACTCCCCCCCAACAATGTCACATTCCTGAAGACTGTCCTGAAAGCCAACCACAGCTATCTCTTGGGAGTATAGCCTCTGGGCAACCACCCAGGCTGGCCCACCCCATGGCTTGCAGAGGCCCAGGCACCCCCACATCAGCCTGGCTTTGAGGAGGTTTCCTCCAGCAGTGCCTGGCCTTAGGAAGAAGCCCTCCTCCAATGGCCTCCCCTGAGCCCCAGCTCGAGGCCAGGCACCCACGTGGACTTGTCCACCTCCTGCCGGATCTTCTTGACGGAGAGCTGGATGCTGAAGCGGATGCTGTTCAGGATGTTCTTGAAGTAGGTCTTCTCGTGGACCTCGAACTGCATGCAGATGGCAGCGCTCAGGGGCAGGCAGGGAAGTGCCATGCCATCTGCTGAGGTGCCATGATGCTGTCTGTGGCTGGTGGTCGCCTTCCCTGGGGCCGGGCTGGGCAGGGCCTGGGAGCAGGGCCCACCTCATACTCCTTGTCCACAGCCTCGGGTTTGAGCAGGAAGTCCGGGTAGCCAACCATCACCATCATGTACTGGAGCTGTGGGGGACAGGCAGGTGAGAGGAGCCCAGGCCTCTGAGGAAGGAGCTCTAAGCCAGCCCAGGTGTGGGGTCACAGGTGATGTCATTCTACAAAGGCAACTCAGTCTCTTGTTCTCCCCAGGATCTGGTACCCAGTAGGGGCTCAAGTACCACATCACCTTGGCCCGAGCAGCAGCCTTGGTCTGGGCATCCATCCAGTCCAGTTCCTCCAGGCGCTGACCCAAGATGTACTTGATGTCTTCTACCAGCTGCTGTACCTGCCAGGTCAGGTGTCAGAGACCAAGGCTCAAAAGGGGAGGCTGACAACCTGGCCCCCAGACCTGACGCCGAGGGTACCCCTGGCCTTTAGTACCACTTGCTAAGCCCAGGGTGCCATGCTGAGCACCCTGGAGAGACCTCAGAGGTGAGGATCCATGCCCTACACCCACATCTTAAATCCCCAGCCTGGAAGGAGGACACTGCTCAGCATGTGCTCAGAACAACTCTGCATGTTCCCAAGTCCACACCTACCGAGCACTGGCAAGGGCTGGCAGCAGCCTGGCAGGGAACACCCCTTACAGCTAACCTAGCACCAAGGCTTCCAGGGGGCTAGGCCTCAGCCGCACCTGGCACACTAGCTCCTGGCAAACATGCCAGGCCTCCCTCCTCCACGCCCAGTTCTGCACCTGCGCATACACCCTCTACCCAGGGCAGCCTGACCTTGGCTTTGCTGGCAGCCGAGAAGTGCTCATGGACGAAGAGGGCACCAAGTGCCATGCCGAAGTGGCGGTTGGCCTGACCCAGGCAGACTCGGGCCAGCTCCTGAGGCTTGTCGCTGCCCTCCATCTCTCTGGCCAGCTCGTGCAGGGCCTCGCGGAAGGGCGGGGACAGGTGCTCACTCAGGACCACCACCACACGCCACACGAGGTAGTTGTGCAGGATCCTGCAGCAGTGAAGCAGGGGTATTCAGACGGACACAGGTGGACATTCAGACCTGCCCTACCATGGGACGGACCCGGTACCCACAACGCCCCCTGAAGAGAGGGAGAACTCAACCCAGGGATGCAGAAGCTCAATACAAAGGGTCATGAGCCCCTGTCACACGGCACCCACTGCTGGCACAAACCAGAGCCCTGCCCTGAAGGGCTGCACCAGCCTCACTTCCCATCTTCCTGTGGGTGGACTGTGGGCACTCGGGGCTGACTGTGTCTCAGGGCTGGCCTTGGGCTGCCCTGCTCCTCCCCCAGGAGGGGAAGAGCCAGGAGGCTGTCCTCAAGGTGACCCTGGGCAGCAGTCGTGGCCACCCCTTCCCACGGACACACAGTTCTCACATAGCCCACAGCCCGGCGAGCAGCTCAAGATGCTCCCAGCCTGCCCGGCTCCCACAGCACAGGGGGCAGCGCCAGCCTCTGACCCTAGGGATCTGGGCCCCTGTTCAATGCCCCCTCCTGCCTGCCCGGGTGGCTGTGGGGGAGGCGGACACTCAAAGGTCGCCAGGAGCACAGGTGCAGGTGCAGAGCAGGGCCCTGCGGACGGTGGGGGGAGGGCGGCTGGGGCTGCAGCCCACCTGTGGGGCGTGGAGCGGATGAGCTGGGACACCTGCCGCATGTAGTCGGTGGCCAGCAGCACCACCTCCTCGTCCTCCGAGAAGTCTTCCTGGAAGATCTGGTCCAGCAGCCACTTCCACCGCAGCTGTGGGGCCGAGGGCGGGACCGCGGGGCGCGGGGAGGGGTCAGGACAGGCGAGGAGCCAGGTGCACCAGGGAGGAGGCCAGGTGCACAGAAGTGCAGCACCGTCCAGGGAGGGGAGCCTGGGCCCGGGCTCGGCCCCCACCCCACCTGCGCAGCGCTGCAGCCACACTCACATGTGGGGTGATCTTCTGCAGCTGGCCCAGCGTGACCTTGTTGTACATGGCGCTCACGTCCCGCCGCAGGTCATCATACTCCGACACCGTGATCTGGGAGGAGACTCTGCTGAGCC